GAGAAGGATCTGATTTGTAGAGGAAAAGTTAAGGTTTACAGTTGATAAATCACTTTAATTAGTAATTAATTTTTATTTTTATCAATGAAAATATTCTTATGAATTCTCAATTATATCTTGACTAATCTTGCATGTAAAGGGTTGATTATGAACGAAAAACAAGAATTTCGAAATAAGGAAGATGATAAGGTTTTTCTTTTTTCACAGGGAAAGTGACATAGAAGGGTGTTATTAAATCCATGTAAGTGTCTTTATATAGTGGAATATCCATGTCAGATATTCTTGTTAAGATAACATACCACGTAAGCAAAATTTAACGAGAGACCAAAAATGAGCTGGATTTTAAACTTTAGAGACTAAAAAGGAAATTTTCTCAGCATGGAGACCAAAAAGGTGTTTTTTCAATAGTAAAGGGATCAAAAAGGATATTTAACCTTTTTAATTTTTGAAGTACTTATTCCCTTGATCCTTCTTACTTAATCCACCCAAATCGAAGTTGTAACCTTTTTAAGTGCGTATTTCATTTTTAAACCTTTTAGGTGATTTTGAACACAAAATTTGTGGTAATTTAGTTGGTTAAATTTGGAATTTTAATAAGTACTTAATTGACCATTACTAAGAGTACTTAATTTACTTGAACTTTTTATAAAAGACATTTAGATAAGCAATTTGATGTAATGAATTGTTTTTCCTTGTATGCTAGTGGCAGGTGACGATCTTTATTAATCAAAACTCCTGAACAAACAATTGGTTTGATTAATCTAACGCTGTGTTGTTGGATAAAAAAAAAAAAATTTAAATGGATTTTAACTTTTCTTTTGTTGAAGGAAAAAATGTGCTTGTTTAGGAGTGAAGAAAAATGATACCTTATGTAGGGCTTACTAATTAATAACCCTTCCAATAACCATTCCTCATATGCATCAGTGCATGAAATAGACATTTAACAACATATATAACCATTTGAACAAAAGGCTATATGTATATACACCACTTTGATGGGCAGGACTTTGCCATGCAGGATGGTATAAAAACAAAGGGAAAAGACCGCTACAAGCATTAGAAGAGGAAAAAAAAATGATCATTACTTAGATATCATCCCATCTGCTTAGCTCTGCAGGTTAGTTTGGAAAAAGACTATTACAAGCATTAGAAGAGAAAAAAAATGATCAATAATAAGAAAATAATCCCATCAGCTTTGCTCTGCAGTTTGGTATCAGAACAAAGGAAAAAGACCATTACAAGTATTAGAAGAGAAAAAAAATGATCATTGATTAGAAAATCATCCCATCTGCTTTGCTCTGCAGGTTGGTGTCAAAACAAAAGAAAAAGATCATCACAAGCATTAGAAGAGAAAAAAAAAAAAGATCATTAATTAGAAAAAGGGGAGCATACAAAAACACCATAAACTTTTTACACACCTTTCAGGAACATGTATTCTTTGATTGTGTAAATCAAGAAATATACGCTTCCGAAAGTAAGGCATGTCCTTTTGAGAAAAGGGGAAACCAATGCAATTGGCATGTGTAAGGCAATCCGCATACTTCATTACAAAAATGCCACAATCAATCCCACTGCCTCGTCAAAATTAAACAAAAATTAACACTACAATTACCACATAAGATCATAAGAATAATAATCCATGGAATAAAAACTAATCAATGGCATGTAATAAAGATTAATTACTTAGTAAGGTGACTCACTTCTGCTGCTTAGGAATATCTGTTGGAACATCGAGAGGCCAATTCGTAGCACTGTTCAGGCCCATGGCAGGCAATAAAGTATTTTCAAACCAGCTCTTAATTTGTTTTAGAGTAACATTGAGCACTTCTGTAGTATCTCTAAGTGAATTCAACCATACAAATTTTTGATACTTGATATCGACATAGAAAAGAGTCCAATGGTCTAACAAACAGAATGGTAGAAACAACTGCAATGACAACAATATTAGCGAATCTTATATATGTAGTTATATTTATTAATAAGCTTATAGGACAGTACAAATGAAGAGCTAGCTAGAAAACTTAGATAATTAATACCTTGCATGTATTGATTTGTTTCTCAGGAGTGATCCAACTTGGCACAATAGGCTCACATCCATTAAGCAAGAAACTCTGATTTTTTAAAAATAAAAAAATCAATATGAATTAACACATCATATTTCTAGGTGGTGTTTCCGATATATTATAAATTGATATCTTTATAAGTTAATTATTGTATTAATTGAGACTTAAAAGTGAATGATATTTACCACTGTTGAAGAACCCACGTAATCGTGCTTCAAGAACATGTTTGGATTTTCTTCGGACCTTCTCTTAAGTAAATCAAAGTACATATCCATGGCCTTTTAGAGAAAAAAATATTAAATTAATGTAGATTAATTGAATCAGGCATATGTTTAATTTTGAAACAAACTTGAGAAAATAAAAGCAAGGTTATTTTGAATAGCCTTTTACCTCATCCCCAATATAATACACTTGCGGTGTTGCTTGGATAATAGCATCAACTAGAGGGATGCACAGAGGACTTAAGATTGATTCTTTGACTTTCAATTGTCTGTACAAACAGAAGCTGAACTCCTCAATAAGGTTTCAAATTGTAATTTGTAAAGTCATATTGTAGTTTATTTTGATGTTACAACAACATACATACCCTTTGCTTTTATGATTCTCCCAATTTCCCAAATGCTGTAAATCCTCTTTTGTAAAATCCCAAACCAAGTACTCCCGAACATCCTACAACAGATTGATACAAACATGAAAATAATCACATGATGATTTGTCAATGTATGCCATTTGTAAGTACTTATTAAAAATATCAATAAAATTGAACAAAGCTTTGTATACTACAGTAAATTAGAAAGCAATGGATAAAACCTTTTCTGACCATACTCTCAGCTTCCTCGTTAACTTTTCATCTCTCTTCTCACTGCCTGCTGCTGCAAACCAAGAATGAATTCTTCGAATGAACATTTTAATATGAAACATAAATAGTAATATATATTCAAATTTCTGGTCTTTTATTGTGGCATATACATGTATCATTAGAAGGTTCATTGTATTACTATAGCATAGATTATTATGTAAATAAGATATATTTATATCCTATTTCATCTTAACTAGAAAGAAGATATATTTATCAAATCAATCAAATGAGCCAATTAATTGCTGTAATTAAGAACATAACAACCATTAAAATTTTGACCATTTTTATATTAACTATCACATCAAAAAGGGCAAGACTTACATGCTTTTACTGATGCTGACCAGTCTTGGCAGCATATCATTGCATTTATGATCTTCAAATCTTGATCACTATTGCTGGAAACAATTTTCTTAACCTCTGTGGTAAATGCAGAGTTTGACACAAAGGTTGACAAAGGTATGGCTAAAAAGTCACGAGCCATCATCCCCAATGTTGGAAATCTTGAGTTGTTTTTGCACCACCAATTTAAAATGTTAATTTTCATTGAGGAGCCTTCATCCTCTTCCAAATACTGACAAAGTTCTGATCGACTTTGTTTGGATGCTTTATACTTCCTAAACGAGTCCAACACTTTATCATTGGCATTAGCCGGTGATGAAGAACAAGTATCCCCAATTGCAGTAGTAAATTTTGTGTGATTGCTGCCACTACTAGCATATTTATCATAAAGACTTCTAAGAAAATTAGAAATTTTGTCCAGATGTTCATTTGCAATGGCATCCTCATAGATTCCCTTGTACACAAACTCCACAAAGTCAAGCTTCAAGGATGGGTGAAGAATAGCAACAATAGCTAAAATCAAGCTACAAATTCTCCAATGATTACTGCATTCCACATTCATCAAAGGATAACATTTATTTTCCTGATGATTCATCTTCTCGTACACTTGATAAATGCTTTTTAAAGATATATCAGCAATCATACAATTTATGTCTCTAATGCACTTATCATAACTGAGATAGAAAATACCAGAAGGCCAAATTTTCTTGTCATGATCTATCTCAATATTAGAGAAGGAACTGTGGACTGTTAAGGAGCATGTTTTCTCTTTGATATTCCAATCCAGAAGTACTCTCTTAAAAATATCACACAATGATACTGCATCAAAATCATGCTCTAATCTTTCCAAAGTAAGAACCATCTTCTTCAATTCCCAACTATCATCAATAAATTGCGCTGTCAAACAACAATTTACCATCCCCTTAGCATCATCCTTCCACAAATTAATCATCAGATTAAAGCAACAAGAAACCTTATCAAAATATCTACAAAGTTTATCTCTCTCTTCATTGTAGACATGAAGTATGTGAGGTTCAAGATCTTTTTCAGATTGAAACTCAAACTCCGGTGGCAATATTTTGAAAAGATTCTTGAGATGTTCATCATGAATTATGCTCAATGGAAGCTTGTACTTAATGATTACCCTTGCCATATCCAAATGAATCTTGCCTTCATCCACCACATATTTTTCTTTGAAAGCACTTTGAGGTTCTAAATTTTTACATGAAAGATTTGATGATTGATGTACATTTTTAATTTTTCTATGACGATTTTCAAAGTGTTTTCTTAGGTGTGATGTCCCTTTTTTGCTCGAACCATCTGTCTCAAAGTCACAATATTTACACTTGGCCAATAATTCCCCATCTACAACTTCTACCTTTTCATAATGATTCCAAACATCAGATCTTGATATTCTTTGTCTTTTGTTTCCCTATCAATGAATAAGGTGTAATTGAATTCAAAGTTAGAAAATTAAATAACAAATCTTGAATTTGGTTAATATACCAATAGAATATAGACATATATTTAAAAACTCTTAATCACGATGGTATAGAAAGGTAAAAGAGGGAAAAGAATATATACAAGACACCACAACACCTTTCATCACAATTTCATAATGATTCCAGTAAAAATAAGGCAATGCACCTATATCAGTCTATGAGGCATTAAGGTTTGAATATGATTAATTTATGGCAATAGGTACCTGTTTATGAGGCACTTGTATATCTGTAACATGATATTGAGCTATCTGATTATTCCCACTAGAGGATATTCTTCCATTCAAATTGAAATCAACAATTGGTGGAGCCACTATATTCTCTCCCGAGGTCTTGATATTTGAAGTTACACTTACATGTGGCTTAATAGGAGGACCCTGAATGTTGCAGTTTATAGTGTAAGAGTCATATTTACAATTTCACAACGATACTAAGACGATGCACTGCTTTAGTTTATGAGCATTTTCAATACAATAACTTATAATAAACAGTACCTGTTCATGAGGCCATTGCAAAACATTCCCATCCCCTGGGTTAACCACAAAGGTTTTCCCTTTAGGACCAAAAGCATCAGTTGGTTGAGCTTGTAGATTGCCTTGTGTGGGCATGGCATCTAAAACTCCAGTGTAGAGTAGCTGATCGACAAAAGAAAACTGATGGATATTGCGGCCTTAGTGTATTCACAATTACATAAAAATACCAAAGAAAGTGCACAGGAAATAGGTTCAACATGATTTATAGCAAATATGGATACCTGTTGCATAGGCAATTGCCCATCCATAGCATTTCCAACTGTCTGGTTAATCAGATTTAAATTGAAATCACTAGTTGATTGAGATGGTGGATTGCTTCTCACAAGCATGGTATCTGATATTGCAGTGTCATGTTCAGGTAGCTCAACTAGAGGGTCCTGATTACCATAGGTGACAAAACGTGGCATTACATCTTTCAAGCGATGTATGATACGGTGTACCAACGATTTTTGTGCCTCAAGTCTCATATTTCCACTTTCAAACCAAAACTCGACTACATAATCACCACAGTTGGCGTAGGCACTGCTAAGCTTAATTGCAAGAGCACCATAAGAACAATGTTTTCTCCAATTCTCTTTAATATATGGGCAAACATTTTCTTTCAACTCAGTGAGAGGAACGTAGAAAGGTCGATTATATTTAAGTGCTTTGCCCACAATGCCTTCTCCTCCTTTGTACTGCCATTTGGATAGTTTCTTTGTATCAAATATAAAACAAGGGGCCCAAGAAACGTCGTCAAAGAATAAAACAGTTTTAAGTGGAAGTGGAGAGCCCGTTTCATGACAGAGATGTCCCGAAGAGACGGGGTTTGCCCACGTCAGAATAGCCATCACCTCGTCCTGACGTATATTCTGTAATATGCCGTGTATTTCAGCTACAGAAGCCATACGAACAATGTTTTCAAAACCGGACCGGTCATTGAACCGTTTTCAGGTCCGGTTCCCGGTTTGACCGGTTCAACCGGTTGAACCGGTGAACCGGCCGGTCCAAACAATAAAGAAGGTTTGATGAGAGGAGCAAG